TTGCGCGTGTTTTTGTTGGGGGGGGAGCGCAATGCCTTCCCAATCGCGCCCAGCGAGCCGCTCTTGCTCGTCGGCCGCGCGCGCGCGCTTCGAAATCCATCCCAAGCCTTCATCGCAGACGCGCGGGCGCCATGATCGTCGTCGGCGCGATCAGCATCGGCGCCATCGTTGGCCCTGCCGCCGTCGCCGTCATCGTCGTCGCAAGCGTCGCTACTTTCATCGCCGCATCTGCCGTCGCCGACGTCGCCGCCTTGTCGCGCCCGCCGGAGTCACCGACTCACTCTGAAGCGCCAGCGCGTCAGCGCAAGACAGGCTGGTCAGCACCATCGCGGCCGCGTCGGTCGCGCCAAACCAGCTGGCCGCTCTGCGCGAGAGCCTGCGCGTGCTAGCGCGGCCGCAGCGATGCGCCAGCCAGCGCCAAGCAGTCATCGCAATCGCCGCCGCATCGGTTTTGCAAATCAAGTCGCCGGTGGGCGGGTGGAATGATTACGCGAGCAATGGAACTGACTTCTCACCGCGAACAAACGTTAACTATTCTGCCGCATTGACACTCTTCTTCTGGGAAAAATTGACATCTACCACCCACCCACCCACCTACCTGGCTTCACCGATCCCCCATGTAGCGCAATGTCCATGCGATTCTGCTCAGCAGTTCGCCATTAATAATTTCGCACCATCCCAGGGGGAGGCCGCCCCCCCCATCACACGCCCCTGTTCAAGTCATATGTATGTATATATAAATACATTAATATATATATACGGTACTATTACTATGCGCGCACACATTCGTTTATCACAAATCATCCGCTGTCAGTAATCCCTTGCAGAAGACGCCGCAGCGGGCTTCTCGCCAGACCATGTCGGAACCATTCGAACGCCTTTGCGCGCTTCCTGGGGGTAAGGGTGCGATCCATATCGAACAACACCATGCAGGCCACTCGCCCGAGTCGGCCGCGCGCGCAGGGCCACCTTAATCACCAACGCGTGGTCACCACCATCTTCTCGGCGTGCCCAGCATCGGCATCGTCATCATCGCCACCAACATCGTTACTATCATGATCGTGTCTGCCGTTGTCGGCGTCGACATGATACCGCGCCCGCCCGTGTCACCGACTCGCGCTGAAGCGTCCACGCGTTAGCGCGGCCTGCGCGACGTGGTGGGGAATGCCCAACATTCAACGCCACCGCTGCCGCGCCGGTCGCGCCAGACAAACTGGCCGTTCTGCGCGAGAGCCTGCACACGCTAGCGCGGCCGCACCGATGCGCCAACCAGCGCCAAGCAGTCATTGCCACCACCGCAGTCGCAACGGCTTTGCGAACCAAGTTGTGGGTGGTGGGTCAGATGATTGCGCGATCAGTGGAGCTGAGAACTTCAAACTTCGGCAAGGCGACCTGCACCACATACATTGCACCACAGATGCTTCAACCTATAGGCGGCAAGCACAAGTTACACAACATACATTGCACAACGTAGATCCCACCACATAGATAGCACGCATACATGTCACATGGTAGGTCGCACCACGCGTATTGCATGACATATGTTGCCCCAAGCATGATGCACATCATGCACTGCACCACCTAGAGTGCACCACAAAGATGGCACCACAGAGTGCACTACATTGAGCTCAAAACATAGATCGCACTCAATGGATCGCAGCACATATACTGCACAACATAGGCCGCATCACGTTGAGCTCATCATATAGATTGTACAACGTAGACGGCACCACATAAATCGCAACCAATAGACTGCCCCACACATATTGCACCGGATTCATCGCACAGCAAATACTGAACTACATACATTGTACCGAGCAGACTGCACCACCGAGATTGCCCCACAAGGAATTGAACCAATTATATTGCACGACGTCTGTTGTACAGCCTCGAGCGCACGACAACATAGATTGCACCACGGGCGGTGCACAGCATGCATTGCACCACATACACTGGTACCACATGGATTGCACCACAAATATTGCTTCACATAGACTGCACCACGTAGATCGCGCCAAATAGGTTGCACCACCTAGAGCCTGCAACGTACATTGCACCAGTGAGATCGCACCATATATATCTATATATCCCCGCAGGTTGCTAAAAGCACACTGTTTTGGGCCTACGCCGGTTAACACGTATAACATGTTTGTATACGTTTACTCCCCAAGCAGTGCTTGCGTGCGCTTAGGGGCTCGTGCAACTGGCTCTAAGAGAAGCGGGCCTGGTTGCCAGTCTGGCGGCTCCGTGGTCGCCGTCGTCTGGGCTTGGTTGCTGGTCTGGCGGCTCCGTGGTCGCGGTCGCCGCCCCGTCGCCGCCCGTCGTCTGGGCATGGCTACCTGTCTGGTGGCTCCGTGGTCGTCGTCGCCGCCCCGTCACCGCCTCATCGCCGCCCGTCGTCTGGGCCTGGCTGCCAGTCTGCTGTGGTCGCGGTCGTCGCCCCGTCGCCGCCTCGTCGCCGCCCGAAGTGTGGGCCTGGCTGCCAGCCTGGCGGCTCCGTGGTCGCGGTCGCCGCGCCGTCGCCGCCCGTCGCCGCAACAAGGACTGCACAGCATAGATTGTGCAACATCGATTGAGCACCATATAACGCGAAGCGTAGATTGCACCACATGGATAGCTCCACATGAATTCACTTATATTGCACCACGTGTTGCACCACATTGACAGCAGCTATAGATGTTCCCACCTGGGTTGTACAACATAGATCGCGCACCACATACATTACACCATATATGGCATCACAGCGGTTGTAACACATGGGTTGCATTACAAAGCTTGCATAACATAGATTGCACAATAAACATCGCATACTGAATATTCTCCGTTTTAAACAAGGAATAGACTCCCCCCCCCGGCGTTATCCCCCCCTTTCGGGTATGTTAATCATATATGATTATCACCACATTTCCATCCTAAGTATGAATCGACACTATCGCAAAGGGGCCGGGATCGGTCCCCTTGAAGTTCACTGGTAACAAACAATCCGCGGGGACATTTTTTGTTCTAACATAGGACTTGTTTCGCGAATCCCTTGCAAAAAAAACGGACGAAGTGCACACGCGCGCGTCGTTGCGCGCGCTTGCCGAAATCCTTCAAAAACCTGCGGTGTCGAAAGGTTTCGCAATCGAGTTTCCACAAAAACATACCAAGACACAAGATTTCGCAACACTGATTTGCTAAAAAAGCTTACGCGCGAACTCTTGCGAAATCTTAAGGAAACCATCGGATTGTCAAGATTTGTACAAAATGCTACCAAACGGGCTTCGCGCTCGCGCATGTCGAAATCTGTCGAACGCCCTTGCGCGTGTGCCGTCGCGTGTGCCGTCGAGAGGATTCCGGCATACGCGCGTCGTCGCGCGCGTATGCTGGAATCCTTCAAAACCCATCGGTTTCGGAAGAATTTCAAAATCGTGTGACCAAAAAACTGACCGAAACACAAGGTTTCGCAACACGGATTTTCAACAAAAGCGTGCGCGCGCGCTCTTGCGTCGTCGTCGTCGTCGTCGTCGCCGTCCTCCCTCCTCCCGCGTCCTCGTCGTCGTCGTCGCCTACGTCGTCCTCTGTCTTTCCTCATGTTCGTCGTCGTCGTCCTCTTTGACGTCGTGGTCGTTTCCGTCGTCGTTGTCGCCGTGGTCGTCCTTCCTCCTCCTCCCTCGTCGTCGTCGTCGTCGTCGTTGTCGTCGTCGTCTTCCCTCCTCCCTCGCCGTTGTCGTCGTCGGCGTCGCCGTCCTTCCTCCTTCTTCGTCGTTCGCGTCATCGCCGTCCTCCCTCCTCCCTCGTCGTTGTCGTCGTTGTCGTTGTTGTCGCCGTCGTCGTCCTCCCTCCTCCCTCGTCGTCGTCTTCGTTGGCGACGTCGTTGTCGTCTTCGTCGTCGTCGTCGGCGTCGGCGTCGTCGTCGTCTTCGTCGTCGTCGACGTCGGCGTCGTCGTCGTCGCCGCCGTCGTCGTCGTCGTCGTCGTCGTCGGCGTCGTTGAAGTCGTCGTCGTCGGTGTCGTCGTTGTCGTCGTCGTCGGCGTCGTCATCTTCGTCGTCGTTGCCATCGTCGTCGTCGGCGTCGGCGTCGTCGTCGTCGTCGGTGTCGTCGTCGTCGTCGTCGTTGTCGGCGTCGTCGAAGTCGTTGAAGACGTCGTCGGTGTCGTCGTAGTCGTTGTCGGCGGCGTCGTCGTCGTCGTTGTCGCTGTCGTCGTCGGCGTCGCTGTCGTTGCCAAGTGCCGTTTGGTACCCACCGTGACTGTCTTAAGAGATTTTGCAAACCAAGTTGCGGGTGGGTGGGTGGGATGTTTGCGCGAGCAGTGGAGTGGACAACTCACTGCGAACATAAATCAATTGCACAACATACAATGCACCACATGTGCGACACTACATCGAATTCAACACATCTACTTTTGCACCAAATAGAGTGCACCATATAGGAGAGCCCAACATATCTGTCACCACGTGGGCTGCACAACATATACTGCTCCAGAAAGACTATACAACATAGACTGTGCCACATAGACGGCCCAACCTGGATTGCTCCACATAGATTGCACAACACTGGTTCTACAACTCAGATTGCCAGAAGCACACTGTTTCGGGCCCACGCTGGCTGACAGATGTACATACACACACCCAAATGTGTGTATATACGTATGCATATACACATCTGTGATGTGTGGGGCGTGCCCCGGCAGAACTGTCGAGGGCCGGCCGGGCCGCGGCAACGCGGGAGCTGCAGAAGGGCCCCTGAAGACCGTCCAGGCGTTCAACCAAAACCTTCGAGGACCTCCGATCCTCACGGAGGATGCCTCGCCCTCTGGCCCCTGCTTGGGCAAGAGGGCGAGGCAGCAGTGCCTGGCCTAGAGCGAGTCCCTGAGCTCGGACGGACACGAGAGCCCACTTGACCACCTCCTCGTATCACAACCTGCCACCCCCCCGACAACTGCATGAGCATGCTGGGGAGACGAGCAGGTGCGACTGAAGCTTGCCCTCTGGCCTCTGCTCCTCCTCCGAACGGTCGCCTCTGCCGCATGTGGCGCAGCGTGCCCAGCGCGTGGTCCCACCTGAACCTCGCGCTCGCCTTCGAGGGCGCAGGGAGGGACGAGCAGCGTGGGGCAGGGAGGCGAGAGGACAAAGGGCAAGCTGGGTTCGCTGGCAACACGCCTGACATCCTGCCTCTCCCACCCATTCAGATGAAGCCAGGACGAGGACAAAACCAGGTGAAACAAAATCGGGATTCTCTGGAATCTGGCGGCTCTGCAAGATGTCTCGGGCGCCGCGGCCTTTTCAAAGCGTTCCGGAACGCTCTCAGAGCAATCATGGACGCTCTGGAACTTATCGTCGTCTTAGCCCAGTCCGGCCATCCCTTCCAATGGCGCTGTGTCTTTTATCCGCGGACGCGTGCCGTATTGCTCCCGCCGTGAAACTTTTGAAAAAAAACCCTATCGCATGATGCGCAGTCGGGGATAGGGAAGCTGCGTACACATAGGGGCAGGTGGCGGATGCGCAGGAGGCTGGGCAGGATGAGAGAAGGAGGCAGAGGAAGGAGGAGGACGAGCACGAACAGCAGCAGCAGCAGCAGCTGGAGTGGAACAAGCGGGAGGAGCAGGATAGGATCGACAGAGCAAGCTTCTCGGAAGCAGGGCCCAGCAGCGTGCGTGGGGAGCGGACAGAAGCGCGGCTGTGGTCCGGATCGGATCGGAGGTGCGCGGGAAGGGGGCCTCCGCGAGGGAGCCGAGGCGCAGGCAGCCCGGGGGAGGCGTGCGGTCGCGCTCGACGAAGGTGCGGGCACAGGGGGAAGAGCAGGAGGGCCCCAGGGGGGAGGCGGAGGAGGCGAGGGCGGGAGGCGGCGGCGACGAGGGAGGGCTCGACTCCAGGGCTGAGCAGAGAAGCGGCCCGCGCGGGGGCGGGAGCGCCACGCTGCACGGCGGGAGCAGCGCGCCGATGCCAGAACGATGCCCACAGGTGGCGCCAATGCCACAGCGGGGGCGCCATCTGGAAGTGCCGAAAAACATCGGATTGGGAAAAAACACATAAACAGCATCGCCTGGAAGTCCTGGGCGTAGAGAACAGTGCGCGGCGAGAGCGGGCTGCTCTCACCACGTCTCCGGGGGAGAGAGGGGACCGGTATTCAGATGGTCGATTGTGTATGGAGGGGGGCAGACCGGGACGGAAGGAGGTGGGGAGCGGGACGAGAGGGGAGTGGGCAGAGGGACGGAGGGAGGGATGGGGGAGGGGGGGCGAGGGAGGAGGGACAGGGGAAGGAGTGAGGAGGGTCGAGGCGGAGAGACTCTAGGAAGGGGGGGAGCATCGAGGAAGGGGGGAGAACATCGAGGAAGGGGGAGAGCCTCGAGGAGGCGGGTCAAGGGGAAGAAGTATGAGGAGGAGGGTGAGGGGGGAAGATCATCGAGGAGGGGATGGAGGAGGGGGGAGGGACGGGGGCCTGCTCCGAACATTCCTCGGGGTCGCTCTCGGTCCAGTCGCTGGGGCCCTCGTGCAAGGGGCGGACCCAGCACCCCGCCGCGAGGAGCTCCTCGGCTGGGCTGGAGCGCCGCTGGGTGCCCAGACAAGGGCATCCGTGGCGACCAGGGATGATGATGATGATGATGATGATGATGATGATGATGATGATGATGATGATGATGATGATGATGATGATGATGATGATGATGATGATGATGATGATGATGATGATGATGGAGAGGAGGAGGAGGAGGAGGAGGAGGAGGAGGAGGAGGGAGGGAGGAGGAGGAGGAGGAGGAGGAGGAGAAGGAGGAGGAGGAGAGGAGGAGGAGGAGGAGGCGGAGGAGAGGAGGTGGAGGAGGAGGTGAGAGAAGGTGAGAGGAGGAGGAGGCGGAGGAGGAGGAGGAGGAGGAGGAGGAGGAGGAGGAGGAGGAGGAGGAGGAGGAGGAGGAGGAGGAGGAGGAGAGGAGGAGGAGGAGGAGGAGGAGGAGAGGAGGAGGAGGAGGAGGAGGAGGAGGAGGAGGAGGAGGAGGAGGAGGAGGAGGAGGAGGAGGAGGAGGAGGAGGGGGAGGAAAAGGAGGACCGATGCTCTCGAGACCCGTGGGCCTCGTTGGGCCTCCTGGAGCGCCCTCGTGACCACGGCCGACCCCCCTCGGAGTCCTGGCCCCGGCCGCGCCGCGCCCCGCGGACGAAAAAATAGCAAGGCGTCACGGCGGCCGTAGGGAAGGGCCCCCAGCGGCGGCCGCGCAGCGGCGGGGCTCGCGCCGCAGCAAGGCGGGGCACCGAGGAGGAGAGAACAGCGTCGAGACGGCAGGGAACAAAAACTCGCCCAGAAGGTCTCGGGGTCAAAAAAAAAACCGTGTGGTGCCAGGCCCGGCGGCGACCTCGAAATCCGCAGAGACCTCACCGCAGGGTCCGTCATCACACTGTTCTGGGACCCTGGAAGCCCCAGTCGCCCTAGACATCCCCGGAGAACGACCCGAGCCCCAAAACCGTGCGGCGACCCCGAGCCCCCACCGACGCACCACACGGTCTGGTCACCACCCCGTTTGAAGGCCCCCGGAAGACATGTCGGGGATCTTCTGGCCCGGGTCAACCCAGGCCCGGGTCAGTCAGGACCTGCAGGATCCTGCAAGATCCTGCGCCCAAACCCAGGCCCCAACGCGAAGGATCCTGCAGGATCCTGTACCCAAGCCCGGGCCAATGCGACCCTGACCCTGCAGGATCCTGAAAGATCGGCCGCTCTGGCTGACCCCCGTCTGCACTGACCCCCGTCGCGAGGCTCCCGAGCGTGCCCAGAGGGGGTGCTCTCCCGGGACGGGCGCCCGGGACCTCCGACGCCGTGACGGCTCCGTTCCCACCGCCCCGCGGCCGGAGCCACTCGGCGCCGCGGGGCCCGCCCCCTGCGGGGGCCCGCGGAGGCGCGGGGGAGGACACTCCCGCGCCGAGGGGGCCGCCCCGCGGAGCGTCGCCAGGGGAAGAGCCGTGGCGTCGGAGGTCTGTCCGCTATACGAAAGTAGACGTGCACAGGCACCTGCCGACGAGCTGTGACTGCAGATTTGAGGGAGGGTGGCGGTGTGCAAAATGGCTGGCTCTCAGTGGCGATTCGTACGCCGCCTTCCTCCCCTGAGGCCCAGGAGCAAATCCTTCGAATAATGTCTGTGAATGCAATTATGTGGCGGAGTCTGGGTTCAGAAGGGCTCCTTCCAATACGTAGCTGCCGCATCACTCCGCAGCGCGCCGGGAAGAACAACATATATGCACAATCAAAAGGACGAAATAACAAAATGGACGAAGCGCGAACGAGATGCGAACTACAAAGTGTAGTGGGGATGGCCAGCACCTCCATCTCGTTATCCTGCCATGCCCCTCATTTCTTCTCTTTCCCCCTCCTCATCCCCATCCTCCTCCTCCTCCCACCACTTTCTAGTCATCCTTTATCATTATCTTCACCTTCTCTATCCTGCTCCCGCTGCTTCACTTCGTCCTCCTCATACGACTGCTGTTCATTGTCCTATTTGCCCCATCCCCCTCCTCATCATTCCCCTCCTCCCACGGTTCAGCCTTCTTCTTCTTCCTCCCACACTGCCCCCTCCTTCGGACGGCGGTCCTCTGGGCGTAGCCAACCCCTGAATCTCGCCCCCCCCCTTCCTTTTCCCTCCCCGCCCGCACTGTTCAGCATCCTGCTTCTCCTGCTGATGCGACCCACCACCTGGAAGCGAACCCTGGTCGAAGCACATACAGTCAGGGCGTTGACCTAAGGAACCCTAAATAAGGAACGAGGCCCCTTTTCTCCAGAAGTTGAACTTCGATTTCCCTTCGAAAACCTAAGGAAAACGTGGGGCAAGCTGTGAAACACTTAAGGAACGCGAAGCCCCTCCCCAACCAAAAGGGTTCCTTCTTCAGGGCCCCGACTGTAATGTTATAATGAAACATTGGCTGCTACGGCTGCGCTGCCGCGCCTGTCACGCGGCCCCAGGCCAGCCAGGCCTGGGTGACAGTCGCAGCTGCTGCTGCATCCCTCCTCCTCCCCCTCCTACTCCTCCTTCTCCTCCTCCTCCTCCTCGTCCTCCTCCTCCTCCTCCTTCCCTTCCTCTTCTTCCTCCTCCTCCTGCTCCTCCTCCTCCTCCTCCTCCTCCTCCTCCCCCTCCTCCTCCTCCTCCTCCTGATTGATCGCTTCTTCGTCGCACTACCAGACGTGTCGGTAGGCCGGACGGGGCGCGTCGCCTCAACTACACGGGCGACCGGCAGGTGATGGGGTCACAGCAGCAGGCGCCGATGCAGGAAGCCCAGTGGCACGACAGGAAGACTGAGGGCCTGGATGATGATAAGGAGGGGGAGACAGACGAGGAGGCAGACGAGGAGGAGGAGAAGGAGGAGGAGGAGGAGGAGGAAGAGGCATTGCCCGCGGTTCTCCGCTGGCACATTGCAGCGGGGAGTCCCCATTCCACGCTGCAATCGGTATGCGGTCTGGCCAGGCATCTGATAGAACACGGTGGCGGCGAGCTGTGACACTGAGCCTAGCCTCGAAGTGGGCGGCTGGTGTGCCAGGGATCACCGGCATCCGTGCACTGTGGGCGGCAAGGAAAGCATCGCAGCACGCAGCACGCAGCACGCAAAAAGGGTTGCTTCTAGACAGTCGCGAACGAGGAAGAGGGAGAGGCAGAGCCAGTTCGGTTTCTCACCAGGCCCTGGGTAGCCGGAAGTGCGCCGACCCAATCGACCCTGGAAGAGCCCCTTGAGGTCAGGGCAAACCTGTGTAGTGATCATTCGAATGCAGGTCAGAAATAGTTCGTTGATCAAGGCTTACATCCAAATAAGCATGCTACAGCCTGGAAGTCTGCCTGACGTATTGAAAGATGCTGTGCAACGACGAAGCGGAGCGACGGCGATGCATATAAATGTGGATTGTGTCACTCGCCAGATCATTTCACAGAGCGTCACACCGTGGCTGGGGCCAGCCTCGGAAATCAAATATCGGGCATGACGAAGAAGAATATGGTGATCATGCTCGGTCGGGGTATTCTTGCGGATACGAGCGTGCAGCTTGGATTGGAAG